CTTTCAATGATGGGTGACGTTGCTTCTTAGGCTTTTTGATACCATTCCTATGCCACTTGTGGCCTTGATTGTGATTTGTGTGATTCTCTGACTTCGCCGTGCTTGAACAGTCTTTAAACCCCCCTGGATTGATCTATAACGACAAGCGCGAAGATGGTTTGCAATGAAGAAGAGAAAGATGGATCAATTTTAGCAGTTCCCGTGGTAACTGGCTGAAAACCAGTCTAAAAAGAGGAACTGGTGAAAAATGCGGTGTTTTCGCTACTTGCTGCATGAGGTCTTAGAGTTTTCACCTCATGACTAGAAACTAGAGTCAGGAACTTGCAGAGGTTGAAATTGTTTTCATTGCCATGTATTCCAAATAGTCCTTCAAATGAACTGAATATATTCACAGACTCCAACGAGAAGAAGACCTGTATACTACTCTGTCCCGGATTTTACTTTATGTCGAGGCTAACCCTGTATAAATGTGTTGTTAATGTTCGTATTTAGCTGTGATTTATAATTCGAAAAAGGACTATTAATGGAAGGAATGATATGCACAGTGTTAAATAACAGCAGTCATTACCTTTAAGCAGAGAAATATACGACTAACCGTGTCTAACAGCTTTAAACGCATCTTTTGAATCCCATTTTGAGTTTAGGAAATCATCCAAAATGCAGAGGATGCAGGTGCAAGTCAAGTGAAATTTCTGCATGACAAACACAGTTATGGAACAGAAAAGCTGCACAGCAAAGAACTTGCTCAGTTTCAGGTAGTAGCACCAGGCGAAGCAGAATCGAAAAACTTAAGATGTCTGAGTAACTTGAATTGATTCAACTGATACGAGATTTTAATGGACTAACAGGGGTCGGGGACCATCGGTCATCCACCCACCCACCTCACCTCGTTTGAAAGTAGAACCACTCCTCCTTCACTCACTTCGTGTCCTGAAACGCAGGATAATAACTTTGAAGATTAGTTTAACAGGTCAACATTAAACAATAAATACATTAGTCAAACATAACAACATTTACTGCCGGAGGGTTAGCTCAGTTGCAGGGGAACGGGCCTGCAGAGTGCCAGATCGCGTGTCCGATTCCCGGGCCACACCAACATTCAAGTTCTTCTAATAAGCGTAGAAGGCAATGCCTTCTCCCTGCAAACGGGTAGTCGAGGAAATACGTTACAAAAAAAGCGACGAGCGTAACTAAGTCGATCGCCACGTGCATAAATTGGAATTAATTTTTGGCTGGCCTAGCGAAAGGCGCAAGATTTCATGTCTAACTCCTTCCTTAGCTAAGCAAGCCAAAACCACTGCAATTTTTTTTTGAAATTCGAGTAGGCACAACTATCTTTCTTGACGTAGGATGTAATTCCTTACAGGGCCCAGCGCTTTATGCCTACAATAACGCTGAGTTCACGTCCGATGATTGGGAAGGCATCAGAATGCTGTGTGCAAGCAAGAAAGACAAAGATCCGATGAAAGTGGGTCGTTTTGGCCTGGGCTTCAAGTCAGTTTTCCACGTCACAGGTAAACTGGTCGCTTAGTGAACAAGTCAAAAACCTTGGATATATTTTATTTTTTGTTACGCCAGTTATCATTTATCTTCGCGAAACCAGATATTAATTAACTGTCGGGGCTTTCTGAGTAAAGACGGTTTTTCATATAAATAAATTTCCACATGAAGAGACAAGGGACGAATTAGACGCCGAACAGTTAAGGGAGGTCAAGCGTACCCCTCAAGATTCCATTAATGAATTGATTATTTGAAAAATGAATCCGGTAGTCGTTCCCGTAACTAGTGTCAAATTCAAATCGGCATTCCTGCATGCGTAATAAGGTGTGAATATTTTACAAAAACTTCTCTATATCTGGTCAGATTAAAAATCTCTGATTGGTTAAAATTGAAGACAATTACATTAAATTCTAGGAAACTGAGATGGTAGATATTTAATTAAGTGCCTCGCGTGTGAATTGATGGTTCATTACACATGCAAGAATGCAGAGATGAACCTGAAATCTACAACTACCAACGGATTCAACTTTCGAATCATAAATTCATTAATGGATCTTGGGGGTACGCTTGACCTGGCTTTACTGTAATATACCATAGTATAGGAGACTGGTTTTGAAAGTCGGCAAACATCAAAGATGAAAACAACGGTTCTTCAATTTATGTTGGAAGCTCCCTGGCCGTGCACATTCCTTTGTTAGTTGTTCACAAATTGGGACTGAATAAATTAATGCGATGTCTCTGTTGGTCGGTAAGTTCAAAATGATAGGAACGCTATTCAATGTTGTGCACGGTCAAGTCCAAAAGCTAATAAAAACATGTAACAAAGAAGTCTATCAGGCTTCATAACCATTCCACCTTACTAACGGCCTGGTAACCTCTAACTAAACGTTGCTTGGCGTAGCAGATTATACAACTAAATTGTTAGTGGTAAACAAATTTTTAACATTGATAAAAAAAAAACGTTCGCACCGGCTACTTGTATAAGTAGTGTTTCTTTTTATTGTTCCATTTTAACAGCAATCCTTTAGTTTAACCAGCAGCTTTTCCTTTTCTAACGTCGTGTTGCCTGAAGTGAGGATTCATCCCTTTTTTCATTCTTGTACTGCATTCTTAATTGACCACAGATTTACCAAGCATAATGAGCAACTCGCAGCTCGGTGTAATTGATCCACACGAAAAATGCTTTGGAGAAAGGCGTACAGGATACAGCTGGGACATAAGAGATGATCGTGATATCATGAACGCCATACCAGACCAGTTTGCTCCTTACAGGGGAGTATTTAACAGTAAAGAGGACATTTTCACCACAGGCTCATACAATGGCACCCTCTTTCGCTTTCCACTACGCAGTAAAGCCTCCAAGCTGTCACGGACGTTGTATTCTGCCGAAAAGGTGCGCGCATTGTTCAGTGGCTTCATTGCTGACGCTCACTTAGTTCTACTTTTCCTGCAACATCTTGAATGCGTTGAGCTCTACGTCCGTGAAGAATTAGACAGGGAACCCAGTAGGACCTTTCTAGTCAGAATATCCGAACAAAGCCTTGAGCTGGTTCAAGAAAAGAGAAAGGAGTTCAGGGGAAAAGTCTCTAGCGGTAAGCTTTCGTCCCACCCAGTTTACGTCACCTATCCAATCACGATTGAGACAATACAATATTACCACGGGCGAGAAACAATCAAACGCAGCCATTCGTTCCTTGTAACTAATTATTTTTGTGGCGGAGAGGTATGCTCTGAATTCCAAACCCTGGCTAAGGATCTCAGCTACTTACCCTTAGTTGGTGTTGCCATGGCATTACCAGCAAGCCCTTGCGAGCCCACCCCAGCGATTCAAGGTCACGTGTTTTGTATCCTGCCGTTACCAGTGCAAAAGACAAGCCTGACAGGTTTGCCGGTTCATGTGAATGGCTTCTTTGCTTTGAGTCAGAATAGACGTTATATCAAATCTCCAAACGCGGAACAAGAAGATCTAAAAAGAGCCGGTCACCCTTTGACTGACAAATCCTTGAAATGGAATCAGTGTCTTGTAGAGGAGGCCATACCCCAAGCCTATGCGACGATGATTTTAGAAGCCATCAACGACAAGAGCTTCAAAGTGCAAGCGGCAGCCGTTTACCAGTAAGTGACATCTGCAATGTTCGTATAATCTTTGAACATATATCCTTATGATTCCTTCCATGCTGCTGATCAAGCGGCCTATTCTGACAATCAACCTTTTTAGCGGGCAAACATGATTCAAAATAACGTCTTATCAATGGAAATATTAACCAAGTTAATAACGTATTTATTTTTCATCAGATAATGTAATAAGGGCCTGTAAAGCCTAATTTCCTTTGATCGCTTAAACGAATCGCAGCAATATTTCACTGTGCTGCCTCCAAAGATTACAAACTGGACTTTCCTTTGTCATTGCTGGTATCACCATTGATATTTTATTCATTAGCTCTGCGATGTTTCATTTATTTTGTCTCAGAGCGTGGCCAGATCTCAGACTAGTCAAGCAGAAATGGGAAAGCATTATAGAGCCTTTGTTTGAGATGCTGTCGTACAAGGAAATTGTCTTCACCGAAGCAAATTGGGGAAAATGGGTACCTGTTAAAGATGCAATATTCAACCAGTTATCTGAAAACGATCTAAAAGAGCTTCTTCAAAGAGTCTTGCTTGGAGCGAACGTTTCTGTTGTATCTGTACCCAGTCACGTGTTTGAAGCTATTAGCTCATTTTCTTCCTGTACGGAAATCGAACCCCGCTTCACGCGAATAGTTTTGAAGGGAGCACCAGCTTGTTATAGGAGGCTCACAAGGCGTGAGAAGCAACGGCTTCTTCATTTTTGTTTACAAGACGATCAGTATAAAGACCTCTGTGGCCTGGAACTTTTGCCTCTGTCCAATGGCAAATTAACCGCCTTTTCACCCTCATCCCCGAAAATCTACATCTGCTCGCCTGAGCATCCTCAAGATCTTTTACCTGGTCTGCAAAACCGTTTCTTGGATCAAACAGTGGATCACGGCATCATTCACAGACTAAAGCACGCAGCCAGACTAGGTAATTAAGACAGGGAGCAAGTGACACTGCTAAAATACTAGGGATTTTAAGCAAGGACTGCGGATTCGGACTGAATGGACTGCGGATGCAGTGACCGAAAGTATTTTTTCCAGGAATGCGTCAATGCCTCCCGCTTAAGATACCACGACGGCTTTGTGTAAACTCGCTTTTTGAATTGACGTTATTACCATCTTTTTTGCGATTATTCCAACTCGTTTACTTTGTCAAATGTAGTGGAACTCTCCTGAGTTAAATCCCTAGAAAAAATTCAAGTTCAGTAAAAAAAAGTTTCGTTATCGCTTGTTTAAGTCCTCCATAAAACGTGAAATTAGGCTTTTTCACAGAGTAGTCGTCTCGTGACGGAAAAGAAATATACAAAAATAGGTATGATACACGATCACAGTTGTTGTGTTGGTAATTTAACCCAGCTAGCTCTTAACTGTACTTAGCCTGCTAGCAAGCTCTTCGGGGCGTGTACTTCACGAATACGTAGGATATCATAGCGGGCCGCAATGAGAAGTGCATAAGCATTTAGTTGTATTTTATATGCCTAGTACGCCAGTGTTTGAAACTGAATTGTAAGACACGTTATACGCATTTCATTCTTTTCAGCCTTCCAAAATTTTTGGCAATTTTGGAAGGTTTATTTTTCGCCCCAAATTCTGTGTCAGGCACGACACCCATATACCCACATACCACGTAAAATGCAGCCAAATACACAATAAGCAGTTGACGGAAAAGAGTGTAAATTATGAGAGATAAAATCTCGGCAGAAAAGCTTGAAAACCGTGCACAAGCAAGTCGTTTTTCTTCTGTTTTTACATTCCTTTCCCCTGGAAGTTCACTGCATAACTTCAACTTTCAGGAGAGTTCAACTAAATTTGACAAGTAAGCGTATTGGAATAATCGCAATATAGTTTGAAAAAACACGAATTCAATTTTTTAAGCTAGGTCTTTACCGTCGTCGTCGAGGCATCTTTAACTCCTTACTTGAAGTAATGAGGGCTTGGTAGAAAAGATGTTACTTCCGGTCACTGTGCAGGACGCTTCCCTAGTCCTTCGCAAAGTCCCTCCTATTGACTGACCTTACTACGCCTTTTAATTTAAACAGGAGGGAGCATAAATCATGGTTTGTCGTTTGTGCAATATTTGATCCCCTCACTTACCTGCCTTAATTCTTCGCACAATTTTTCTTGTTTGAAATCTCACGCAAGAATTCGAGATAACTCAAAAAATGAGTGCGAAGCTTTCAAATGATATCGATTTGTCTTTCTGGTTAAATTTGTATAGCCTAGGTTGATTTTTGTCTCCTAAGACTAGGAGACAAAGGAAATTGAGAGTCAACCTAGGCGGAATCAAATTTATCCTGAAATAATATTTGAGCTGTAACACTTAAAAGGCTATGATATTTTCTTTCAGTTGAATAATATTTTGTTCCGTATTGCCTCACATAATCTCTCCACTATTCCTTCAAATGAAGCTGCCTACCTCGAAGAATGATCGTAATTAAATAATCGTGAATTTTGGCGATAACAAAATCTCATCTTGCTTGCCATTGATTGACTTTCGCAGAGTGTACACAGTTACGACTTCTTTCTGAAAACAATTTGGTAAGTCTTCTTAAGGAATCCCTGCCTTACGACTGGAGTCAAGGCAAAACTGTTCTGTGGCATCCAGATGACCAAAACCACAACCATCCTCCAAGAGAGTGGATCAAACTGATATGGAGATACCTTCGCGACCACTTTCCTGCTACAGAGAGACTTCAGCGACTTCAAAACTTCTCCTTAGTTCCAGTCAGTATGGAACAAGCAACTGTTACTTTGAAGCCACTTACGCAGCCCTCCACAGTAGTGATTAAAAGCCTGGGTGGGGACGTCATTGATGATGCTTTGATGCGTGTCTTGACAGCGTTCGGCGGGGATGTCTTGACTGGTTGTCCTCACTTCGTAATCGACCACCCCTGTATTTTGGACACTTACGTACATCGCCCAAATGCGCAAGGTATTTTGGACACCATTTTGATCTTAGCCTCCAAGTTCACAGTCGGAAGGTTGTCTGAAGTCTTGATAAGAGAGGTTTCCACCGAAGGAAAGCGAAGTTTGAGATCATTCCTCGCCAGTGTCAAACCAACGCAAGTAGGAAAAAGGGAACACATTCTCATGCTCTCTCTCCCCGTTTTTGAGACTTTTTCTAAGAGATTTGTGTCCAAAGAGGAAGGTCTACCAGCCGCACCTGTTGAATATCTTCCCGTCCCGCCTCTAAGGGAACTCATTGACATTTCGCAAGACGATTCTAGGATTTTAGCTCTTCTTCTAAAAGTCCGGATTCTTAAACCTATGGAATTGCTTTGCGAAATTATATTTCCTGACTTGCAAAGTGGCAAATATAATGGAGGACAGATTGACAAGTTGATGCCCTATGTGCTCAAGCATTTCGCAAACGTCATTCGCTCCGATGTTCACTTCAAGCGGAATGTACGAGCGCTGCCATTTCTGCCGCAGCTTCATCATAAGCAGCGGGTGAAGGCATCGGATGTCTTTGATCCCAGAAGTTACAATCTTAGAAGAATATTTATCGCTGAAAATGTTTTTCCCATTGGCCAGTTGTACAACGATGCGACCGTTCTTAATGCTTTGGAAGAAATTGGAATGAAAGAAGAATCCAACATCACTGCCGCAGACCTCCTTCAAAGCGCTAGGAAAGTTTCCGGCCTTCCAGACCTGCTAACTGCAAGACAGAAGTCCGATGCAATTTTGCAGCATATTAAGCTCTATCCCCAAAAACTGAAGAGCAAAGTTTATGGACAAGAGTTGGGATCTTTACTGATGAGAATTCAGTGGGTGTCACGGTTGCGCCACAGGCCATCAACATTCCCTCCCTCACTGCCATGGCTGGAAACATGCGAAGAAGGAGGAAGACATTTTTTTAAGCCATGTGAACTAAAGGGCCATAACGTAATAAATCTCATAGGAAGTGTAAAACCTGTTGTCGACTTTGAACCTTCGAGTGAAATTGCTGGTTGTTTTGGCTGGGTAGATAAACCAGAAGTCGTCGACGTCGTTGAGCATTTGGGAAATGTAGTCATGCATTACACTGATGATGAGAAGGCGTATTACATGGCGTTGGTGAACGAAGTCTATTCGTTTCTGAGCAGTTCAGACTATTATGAAGTCAGTGGGGCATTGGAATCTTCCCATTTCGAATGGGTGTGGAATGGAGACGGCTTTTCTTTTCCTAGCCACGTGATTGCCATTAGGCCACCCATTGACCTTACACCCTACGTTCGCGTTCTTCCCTCGGAGGTTCTAAAACACTCTAAGTTGTTTACACTTTTTGGCATGAGGACAGAAAGTGATCCATCTCTTCTGCTGCAAGTGCTTGGCTTAATAAAAGTGAAGTATAGCGGTCGCAGTTCCAGATTTAGCCCCTGTGAAGTAAGACATGATCTCCATTTAGCAGTTGACATTTTAAATGAATTGGCATGTGACCAATTATCGCCAGAGCTGCAAGAAAAAATCCTTATGCCTGTCCGTGTCCATGACAATTCTTACGTCCGGCTTGAAGCAGTTGAGCGCTGCATGTACACTGGAGAAAAAGAATGGCTGTGCAGTGCTGGCCAAGACGAAGAGCAAAATTACCATTACATACATTGGAGCGTCCCGAGCATCACTGCTGAACGTCTAGGTGTACCATCTCTAACACATCGAATGTTAGACCCTGATGAACTCTCCATAGGAGAAGAGTTTGGACAGGAGGAGAAGCTTACCACTCGATTGAGTCGACTTCTAGAAGACTACAAAGATGGACTTGCTGTGCTGAAAGAGCTCGTGCAAAATGCAGACGATGCTGGCGCCACTGACGTAAGATTTCTTTACGATGAAAGGACCAACGAGGATGCTATGACGTTTCTCATAGACGACGGAATGAAAAAGTGTCAAGGTCCTGCTTTGTGGGTCTACAACGACGCGACATTCAAAGATGAAGACTTTGTTAATATCACAAAGCTAAACGAGGCAACGAAAGTGCATGACACTGAAAAGATCGGTAAGTTTGGACTTGGCTTCAATGCAGTGTACAACCTTACAGATGTGCCGATGTTTGTAAGTAAGAACTATTTTGTAATTCTTGATCCCAACACATCGCACCTGAGGACTATCATCAAAAACAAAGCAAAGCCTGGTATCAGGATTGATCTCAACAAAGGTGTCAAGAACCTGCAGACATTTAAAAATCAGTTTAAACCATTCAATGGTGTTTTTGGCTGTGATTTAACCCTTCGGAAAGAAGACAACTCATACGATGGCACGCTGTTCAGATTTCCTTTGAGGACAAGAGAGCAAGCAGCAGTTAGTGAGATCAGAGACAAGTGTTACGACGAACACGAAATGCGGAAACTGTTGAAAATGTTCCTAGTGAAAGCAAACTCGTTGCTTCTTTTTACACAAAACGTATTCCGCGTTGGACTGTACTTCTTACCGAAATCTTCAGACCAGAATCTACAACCGTTGCTAATGTTTCAGGTTAATAAATCACTCGCCCAAGGAGGAATACTGAGAGAATTGTCCTTCCCCATCATACTACCAGACACTGCGCAGAAACTGGGAGCAGAGCAGAAGAAGTTGTTGGTGCAGTCTAATTTTCTGCAAGCATCATCCAAGGTTAAAAAGAACTCCAAGATTAGGAAAGTCAAACCAAACGAATTTCCAGAATCGTCCATTGCGGTTGATGTGGAATGCGTTTTCACTAAGGTTGGTGCTAGTTTCTTTGAGATAAGCGAGCTTCCTAGTCGAGAAGTTGAAAGATGGTTAATCGTGTCCTCAATGGGGAATGGAAAGTCACTGAAGTTCGCAAAAAGTGACCCTAGTCTTCTTCCGTCCGGGGGAGTAGCTGTTCAGTTGTTGTTTAAAGAATTTAACACCTTTATGCCCAAACCGGAAGAAAATGGAACAGTTTTCTGCTATCTTCCACTCCCAATTCACAGTGGCCTGCCTGTGTTTATAAATGGTGCGTTTGCAGTGGATTCCAATAGGCGTCGTTTGCAAGGTAAACTTGAAGATGACAAGACATGCTATGGCGAGGAATGGAATAATGTTCTAATGACTGATTCCATATCTACTGCTTATTTGTGCCTCCTTGAAGATCTTAAGAAAATTCTCCCTGGAGACGGATCTTATGTTTTCCATTCACTGTGGCCAAGGGCGTTTGACGTAAACGAACATTGCTGGTCTGTTGTAAGGTCATTCTACAAGCAAATTGCTGATGGAGCTCATGCTCTGTTCTCCAATGGAAGAAAATGGGCTGACATTACTCAAGTGGTTTTTCTCCATCCAGACCTTCGCGTGGATCCTGAAATTGGAGAAGTTTCATTTGCTGTGTTTCGCAACTTCACAAAAGGAAATGACCTGGTGATTGACTTACCACCCGAAGTGTTCCAGTCGTTTGAGTGCTGTGGTTTGCTAAATGTGATCAGAAGTAAAACATACGACAAGTTGCGATTTTACCGTGATGTTTTCTTTCCAAACATATCAAGAGTTGCTTCTGATCTGCGGGATGTTCTTGTGTTACATGCCTTAAATCAAAACAGCTTTGAGTTTGAAGACTTAATAATGAACAACGCCTGCATTCCAGTGTCGCCTGGTGGAAGGGTACTCAAGCGGCCGAGTCAGTTAGTTACTCCCGACAAAGAAGCTTCCGTCTTGTTTCTCCCAGGTGATGGTAGGTTTCCCTTTAGTGATGTAAGTACATTTTGTCACCCTCAAGTGCTAGCCAAACTGGAGAAACTTGGGATGAAGTCAAATGATCTACCCTGGGAAGACGTTGCAGAAAGAGCAGAGAGTGTCCAGCACGTTAATGTAGTTGACAGTAAAGCGGCAGTCAAGCGTGCCAAGGTTTTGCTAAAGTTCATTAAAATGAAACTGAAGCGAAAAGCTAAATGCCCGCCGGATGCAATTGTGTCTCGCATTTGCAAAGCCGAGTTCCTTCCAGTTCTGGAAAAACCATCGTCATCCACCCTCCCCTGGAAGAGCGAGGAACATCGAGGATTTCAAAGGCTCCTGGCGGCACCAAAGGATATCTTTCCTCAGGATAAGAGGTACCTTGTGTGTTGCACGGAGCTACTTGTCGATGTGGACGTCCCCAGTAAAGTGGCAGAGTTCCTCAATTTAAATGACAAATACGTTACGACACAGCACGTTGTCAAACAACTTGAAGAAGCTATTTCTACTGACCTAAAAAAGATGGATACTAACGGTTACGAAGAAGTGAGCCGCGTTTGCAAAGAAGCTTACTCTTTTCTACAAGAAAATTTTGCCAACTGTACCCCCTTTGTCAAGGATTTTCTATCTACGAAAAGATTTATTCTAGTGGAAAGGCGCTTTCTCCCTGCAAATCTTGTCGCATTTGAGGTGAAAACGGACTGTTCCCCGTACCTTACCCAAGTTCCAGATTATTTATCCGATTCTTTTGGCAAACTCCTGACATTTTGTGGTGTCAGGAAGCAGTTTGAACCAAACGACTTCATTTCATGCCTTCGAGAAATAAGGGGACAGTTCGGTGAAACCCCACTTGACGAACGAACATTACAGGTAGTTGTGAACATGGTGATTCAACTCGGAGAGACATCTGAAGAGTCTAAGGATGACCTGGACAACGAACAAGAGGGCTGTGGTTTAGTTTTTCTTCCTGATTCCAGACGCAGAATGTTTGCAGTAGCTGATCTGTGCTACAAGGATTGTCCGTGGATGCCTGATGATCCAGAGGAGCTGTTTGTCCATGAGAAGATTCCCTGGTCAACCTGTAAGAAACTGGGCGTTAAAACTCGCAGAGAAGGAGCTCTGCAACATCACGATGTTGGTTTTCCTTTTGGGCAAAAAGAAGAGCTCACAGATCGATTAAAACGGATTTTGACAGGTTATCCAGGTGAGAAAGAAATTTTAAAAGAGCTTCTTCAAAATGCAGACGACGGACAAGCAACTGAGATTTGCTTCATTATAGATCCTAGAAACCATCCTGAAGAGAGGGTGCTCAACGAGAGCTGGAAAGCCCTGCAAGGTCCTGCACTTTGTGTGTACAACAATAGACCGTTTACCAATGCAGATATTGAGGGAATTTGTAACCTTGGCAAGGGTACCAAGGGGGGAGATCCAAACAAGACTGGTCAGTATGGCTAACCGAAATTACGACACATAGTGGATTGACTACAAGGATCATTCAGGTCGAAGGGTAAAGAAATTGGAGATGTTCTTTGCGTGTTTGATCCTCATTGCAAGTACGTTGCTCGTCCTACCGATGAAAAACCAGGTAGAATGTACACGAAGATCGACGAGTTAAAGAGTAAGTTTCCAGATGTATTTCGTTGCTACCTAGGGGACTTTTTTCCGATACAAAATGCAACCATGTTTCGCTTCCCACTGAAGTCCCAGGAAATGGCCAAAGAATCCAAAATATCACGAACACCCGTCACCGTGCAGCAGCTTGACAGAATGATGGAAGGTCTAAAAATGGAGTTGTTCGAAGTTCTCCTCTTCGTAAACAATGTGAGGAAGATTAGCATTGCCGCCGTAGACAGAAGTGGCAAACCGGTTGATACTTACTCCGTTGAAATTGTTATGACCAAGAAAGACGAGAGGAAAAGACAATCTTTTGCTGATTACATGAAGCAGATTGGAAAGCAAGCGAAACAAAAAGATTTTCTTCCCACAAGCATTAAGGTGAAAAAGTGTATTTATAGTATGAAGCTTCGTGACAGCCTTCAGAAGGAACAGACTTGGCTGATTGTACAACAGGTTGGCTTTGAGAAACCAGTGGAAGAAAGTATTGCTCATGCTTTCAAAGAAGAACAACTGGGTATGCTTCCTCGAGGTGGAGTGGCTTACCTTTTAAACGACAGCAGGTCTGCAGTGAAACCCGATGGCAAAGCGTACTGCTTTCTTCCACTGCCATTTCGGACCAATTTACCTATTCATATCAATGGCCACTTTGATCTGGACCATGAGGCCAGAAGAAATTTGTGGCAGGATGAAGCTGCTGGCTATCGAAGTGACTGGAATAACGCCTTGCTACGTGATGTTATCACCTCCTGCTACCTCACTCTCCTGGACAAGGTAAGAGGATACATTCAGCTGCCAGTTGGGCAGGATGCGGCTGGTCAGATTTCCATCCTTAGCAAAAGTGAAATCACAGAGAGGTTAACTTACTATGAAGCATTGTTTCCGCGGTATCCCTTGGAAGATTCATACTGGAAGTCATTAGCTGATTCCGTCTACCAGGGAATGAGCAAAAAAGAAATGCACCTTATTCCGGTGGTGAAGTGCTCCAAGCAAAGTTCAGGAGCCGGTGTTAAGAGTATCAAAGGATCCAGCGGAGTCCAAGTCACATGGTTCGCGCCGCAGGACACAGGCAAGAACCAAACATACTTCAACAATCTCGAGATAAAGGGTTGCTTTGCTCCTGTTCCACCAAGGACCAATACGGATGAGAAAGAAAGAAAAAAGAGGGAAGAAAGTCGCATTAGACGAAAGAACCAGTTCGAAGAAATGTTGTTGGAAACTGGTTTTAACTTGGCGGCATTATCAATTGACTTGTTTGATTCATTCATGGAGGCAGGAGTAGAGGTGTGCTGCGTCTCTCCTTTGGCTGTGATGGACTTTTACAAGTCGTGTAATGATAGTAATCCGCTTTGCAGTATTGGCGACGTTCCATGCCCCATTGAAAGGAGTCCATTCAAAAACGTGAAAGGAGTTATTCGAATTCTAAAGTACTGCCAAGACGATGATCAGTTTCTGAAGAATCTCGAAGGTCTTCCATTGCTTCTCACACAGGACAACTTCTTACGCGTCTTTAGTGAGAGCGATCCGTGGTGTTTGTGTCGTTACTGCGATATTTTACCACGATCTCCCGGCTTGTTTGTACACAAAGAGGTTCTAAGTGACGTTTTTAACATGGCTGATTTAAAAAAGACCCCCGTTTTCCGACCTTTGGATTTAGATACCTTCTCTTCTCAATTGCACATAACTCTTCCTGAATGTTTTTGCAGCGAGGATCAGTACGTGAGATGGTTTCCTGAAGATAATTCAAAGTCAACGGCCCTGCCGAATCGTCGTTGGATTTACAGGGTTTGGCAGTTCCTCGAAAATTTCGTCAGCGAAAAACTTAATGACTTAGGAGAGGAAGAAAAGAAGGATCTCAGTAAGGAAAAGAAAACTTTCTTTGTTCGTGACCTGCTCATGCCATTGACTATGTGTTGTATCCTTCCAGCAACCCAGGCAAGTTCTAGTAAGCCAAAACTAGTTACAGAACAATTTTTGGTGCCTTTGAAAATGGGAGAATCAGTTCTTGACTTTAGAGATTGTGGTCAATCCAGCGAGAAGTTGGTGAAGGCCTTAAAATGTTTGGGGTTGCCAGAGCTTGATTCAGTTATACTGTCAACTGTCCGCATCGGTACAATTTGCTACACCAAACCAGAATCGTATAATTTAGCGCGCAATCTTGTAGCGACACTTAAGAGACCCCATTCCCTTCTCACAGCGTTTCATCAGAAGCTGAAGGCTAATCCTTCCACCCTTGATGGGAAACTAGAGGACGAAGAAGCTATGGAGGTTCTTAATTACTTTAGCCGCAACACAAAGTCTCTGTCATGCGACGACAAAGAAACTCTAAGGAGGCTTCCTTTCTTTCCAATGGCGGGTGAAAGGCTAGGAAAAGTTCAGGATAGGAACGTCTTTGTTCTCCCTGATGACATCCCTAACGACGGGATCGATGTTGTTGAATTCAGACTTGACTGTTTTTTTGTAGAATCTCGCGAAAGTCTGTCAGCCTTGTATGAATTCCTAGAATTTGTGCAAGTATCGCCATCAAATGTTTACCGAAATTTCATTCTTACATGCTTTCAGCAGTTTAGTTTTGAAGGAAAGCTGGCCCACCTTCGATATCTTCACGGCTTTGTGTCTTCAGTAAGTGCAAAAGAGAACGAAAGTGAAGAGCTTGAAAAAAGACAATTGGTAGACTATTTGAAACGAATTGAGCTCATTCCAGCTGTGGACGGTTCCTTGAAAACAGCATCCAGTTTCTATGACCCCTGCAATGAAGTATTTGATGCCTTGTTACCACAAGACAGTTTTCCACCGGAGCAATTTAACTCTGAAGAGTGGCTGTCATTTTTGCAGAAGATTGGCCTCACTAAAGACGTGTCAGGAAAAGATTTCTTAAAGTTTGCTAACCAAGTGGCACATGAAGCTAAAACACAGCGAACAGAAAACACCTACAAAAAATCCGCAGTTTTGTTGCAACACCTTTTTTCTCGACCAAATGTGGTTGGTGAAGGTCTTCTACATCTTGTTTCTGAGATTCCTTTCGTGGCTGCAAGACCTGTTGAAAAATCACTACAAGAAGTATGCCTACCATTTGGAATAACACAAGGAGACGAAATTCCATTCATTGCATTCAAAGATTCCGTTGTCAACGAGCATGCAGAAATCATATGGACGAAAGCACATTTGCTTCCAACGTCGGCAGATCCAAGGTTTCATAGTTTTGAGCTTTCAAGTGACTGTCGTCATCGAAATGTTGATCAGTACATTAAGGTATTTGTTGAACAGCTTGGTATTCAGATTAAGCCATCTGTTGCTCTTGTCATTAGTCACTGCCAAACTGTCAGCACCAGGAAAAATATCACAACTGACCAGTGCTCAGCGGTAACGAGGGTCATGGAAAGAATTTATGAATTTCTACAGGCAAACGCCATTAACGATCCAGAGGCCAGGAGGGTACTCGAAACCATGCGTTTTATCGCTGTTGAAGAAGGAAAAAAGTTCATTCTGCCTACACAAGCTGTCATCGAGCTTTACGAGCATTTCGAGATTAAGCCGTTTCTTTACAGAATTCCTGCAGTATTTGGAAAGTTCCAGACTTTGTTTGAGTTTGTAGGCTGTTCAAAGACTGTAAGCTGTAGAGATTACGCTGTGGTATTGGAGATGATGCATGAGAAATGCAAAGGTTCTAAACTGAACCCAAATGAACTTACAAAGTGTTCGAAGGCCATCAGAGGATTCTTCAAAACTTTGCAAGATGACCCACGATCCGTGCTAACTCTCTCCAAATTGTACCTACCAGCAATGCCTTCAGAATTTTGCCTTTCGAACGAGCACCTCAAGATAAGCACCATTCCTGTTACTTTACGTTTATCGACGGAGCTGTTGTTTGATGATGCCCCAACCTATGGTTATAGGATAAAAGGTCTTGAGCAGCCATTTGTACTAGAACTTAGTCTACTGAATGTAAGTCGTAAATCAGCCATGATTAACTTTACAGATTTGATGCTGAAATTACCGCCAGAAGTACAGCCAAGGATGCTATCTAGTGTGGTAAAGGAAAAACTCTGCGATCCCGTAAAAACGAAAATTGTCGCGAACGGGGCTGTTGACACGATGAAAGTGAAGATATCTTCCATCCCCTTTGCTCGTGGAGTTGCAAGAATCATAAAACACGTTAACCATCAGGATAAAGATTTTGACTTAAGTGTCTTAAGAGGCATTGAGGAAAGTCTTCGAAGCATCGATTTGTTTGCTGTGGAAGGTCTTAGGACCTCCCTTTTTCTTTATGAAGTTCAGATTCCAGAAAGTGAAGCTGATGTACCTTTCTTGGTAGACAAGCCGGAGCTGTCTGCATTGGGGAAAAGTAAAGTGTACATTGATACGCTGTCTGGGGTGAGTGATGCCATTCCAATCATATCGGACATAATTGGGGAAATGTATGGAGAGTTCCTTCAAAAGAAGGCAAATCTCATTGGTGAGATGCTCCGTTGCCCACCTTCGAGTATTTGGCCACTGTTAGACAGAATGAAAGTTCGTAAAGATGACAGCTACACCACGGCAGATTTGTATATCTATCCAGAGCCCGGTACATTGATTCCAATTGAAGACCACCACCTGTTAAAAGAAGCTTTTGAAGAATTTGAAGCCGGAGAGTACGTTGGTTATCAGCTGCACGACCCAAGTCTAGCCCAGCGGGAAGGTACTCCAACATACATCTACGCTATAATAGTCGAGGAGATTAACAGTGAAGATACTGCTATCTTGACAAAGGCATACCGAATTAACATTGAACACGACAAAGAAGCAGTTGAGGTCAGTGCTGGTAGGCTGTATAAATTTCACCGCTTGCAAGAGATATTTGAGGAACAGGACGAGGATATGGACGGAGTGCTTAAAGAGATCTCGGACATCCTCCAGAACGCATGGGAAATCCCAGAGGACGAGAGAACCCAAATTGTCAAGCGCCTATTCATGCGTTGGTTTCCAAGAAAGGATGCTTTGCAGCATTTAATGAATGAAGTTTCTCGGCTCGGTGGCGGTTACGATGACTTGTTTGCTCTATTGGAAGAGCGGGTAAAACGACGTGATTCACAGCGGAAAAAATATGAAGAAGACTATGGACCATGGCCACCTTCACCTGATGATGATACTCCCCCAATTTTCTTAAGGAGAATCAGAAAAAATCCTCAGCCAGAAGAGGCCAAGCGTTGGTTGAGACAAGCTGACGCTGACCTTGAGTCTTGCAGTAGAGAGAGAGCATCCACCACTGACTCATTTGAGTGGCTTTGCTTTAAATGCCACCAGGTAAAGAGTATAAACATATATCTACATTGTAAACGGAAAAAATGGAAACCTATCGACAACCAAAAAATTAGGAAAAGACGTTAGCGTACGTCCGCCCGCCCGTCCGTACACTCTTTGGGGGTAGGGTTGAAAAAAAAAGTTCAGTAGGGTAGGGAAGGGAGTCCAAGACATTGACGTTGCGTTTCGTTTTGGCGCAAAATTAACCACTTAATGGGCAACCAACGCAGATGTTCGAGTAAAAATCTATTTTATAGTTGCTTATGTTCGACTTACGACAAAATTTTCAGAGATAAATTTCTAAGGCTGTACTTTTTGCTTAGCAACGCTTTTGGTCACACTTCAGGAACAACCTAATCTTCCCCCCAAACCTGGTCAAAATTTTGACAGGTAAATTCATGCGTGAAAACGTATGCAGCATCTATAGACACTGATGTGTTTGCCGACAGACTCTTGCCGACAACTGAACCCTTTTTTTCCATTTCAGTTATGTTTTAAAATTATTGTGTTCTTGTTTTGCCGCCTCAAAATGAAAGACAACCGCTGTGAATTTTTATTTTTTTCTGTTCTTCAAAGCAGAATTTTTTAATATTTGGTTTTTCGTGGAAGAAAATGTCCTAAAGGGATTCATCGATGACTGCGTTTGACACATACGACTCTTACGGCGGACTAAGGTAAAATGTTCTAAACATTTCACATTTTCACATGTTCGTTACTGTGTTCGATGAAACTTGATTTATAGTTTTCTCTTTTTGTTTTGAAATCAGTTAAGTATAATTTTTTAAAATTGTTTTGTTGTTGTTGTTTTCATAATGGGAATTACAGATAAGTGTAATTAAGAGAAATTTATTTAACTTGGACTGAATAGGCTACTATTTTCCTGTTCCTGATCTTCATTTCCCGAAATGGCTTAAGTTAGTGTCCTGTAGCTAAGTGCATATTGTTCAACACTTGGTCGTATGTTGATATATTTCTGTTCCTGAATTTCACTTTGTTAGGACTGGTAGAAGACTTGTTTAGGGATAAAGGGATCTAGCTAATATTTGTTTTAGGCTTTGTTTTTTTCTCTTGCTTGCAATTAAAATTGAAATCGTCAAATCTGTTTCGTTTAGTCCAAACTTAAATTATAGAATTACAAAATGGCCGTTTTAGGTCTGTACTTACCTCACAGAGTTAACCATGGTAAACTATTTTTAGTAAAATCCAACTAGTGGTCTTCGGCCTCATGGGATATTACCTCAGAGCCCATTCGGGCTCGAGGAATAATTGTTAATTATTCTTTCCAGGCAGCCGAAAAGGCCCTGAAGGCTGTGCAGTACAACGTGGATGCTAATCAGAAGACAAATGACCACAATTTGGTACTGAATTGTCATGGTTTTGATGTATCAGATGCTGAGTTAAAAGATTTAGCAGCCCAGCTAGAACGTCTTGTGATTAATTCAGTCCACATGCGTTACCCTGACACTATGTCATACCCCAACATACCCCATGACGTATACACAGCAGTGCATGCAGAGGAGGCCTTTAGAATAGCGACAAAGATTCTGGAGATAGTTCAAGTGAAACTGAATTAAGGTGGGGCTTAACGATACTGCCACTGATTTCATTTTAAAGGTTTAAAAGGTTAAAAGTCTTCTTTATAATGGAAAGAACAGCTAGTTTACAAAAACTAGTCAAATACTCAGAAACAAATATTTCAAACACGACATAACAGGATTGAAAACCCCAACTGGCAGGAGGCAACCAGTTGGGTATCAAAAGCATGGCCGAGAATTTAAAATTGGACCACCGAGAACAAATCCAACGATTGATCAGAGCGGGACTCGAACCCGGGACCGCCGGATTGCGAGTGCGACGCGCTGACCACTCAGCCACAAGTTAGGACAAATTTAGAAAAGTTAGGACATTGGGCTGCGATCGAGTAGAAACTAGCTCGTCCCAAATCTTGATAGAAAAAGGGGATTCGTTCAGTCGTTTAATGCCTTTACTCAAGAACTTCATTTTCAGCTTGAGAATAAATAATGGAGAACCACTAAAATTGGGATTGCAATACGAATTATACCATTCCGATAGCTTTACACGTCGATAAATGTTGTCCAAATTCGTTGCGCTTCCCTAATTAAATTTAGTGTCGTGCAAACATTTCAGTTTTAGACTTTAAAATTTATGTGGCACAAACTCTTGGTTTAAAAATGTCCTGGTTGTAGCTGTTGAAACGGCACCGTGTGGTTACACAGTAAAGACAATCTTGGAGCCACTATTGATACTTAGGATCTGAAACGAGGGTATTTTTATTGGAGTGGCGTGCTCTTTGGCGAGATGATAGTTGAGAATTTCACGAGTTTTGCAGGAAGGAACAGGCAAGCAAAAAACCGGAAGAGCTGAGAACCAAAATTAGTTGACACTAAAAAAGAAAGATAAACGGAATAAAACTATTCCCTGCAAAAAAAGAGAGAGAGAGAGAGAGAGAGAGAGAGAGAGAGAGAGAGAGAGAGAGAGAGAGAGAGAGAGAGAGAAGGGAATACCAAAGAGCAGTCTTCATTTTATGTCCCACTAATCTTATAAAGTGATGAAATTAGGTTAGTTGGCTAAATTTTAATTTTCCCTTTTTCTTCTGTCATGTTCTGTAGGCTAATAATCAAGCTACTCTTAAGAAGCCATTTCAGTCTGCAACTTCCAGAAGACTCGAATTAAGAAGAGGTCCAGTATAGACTTGTGTATCGGAGGATTGTGGTGCCTCTCGCGATCGAATATTATTCGACGCAATCTTTGACTAGCCTTATTAATTACTTACTCAATAATTTTTCTAAGATATTTTTAAAGTATCTAGTCAAACGCATTGTTGATTGTTTTATTGACTTTGAAGCATTTTGTTTCGTGTTTGTGTTTGTAGCTTTGTAACGTTCGATCTTGTGTAACATGTACAAACACCATTGAGGTTTTTTTGGTAGAATGTAACTGTAAAAGCTTAATCTTGACGCTATTTTGTTATTTTATTTTTGTATTTTTATTTCTTTAAGTGCAAAAAAAAACCTTTAAATTAGTTCGATTGGCAATCACAAGAAACATAAAAGTCAGCTTTTACAAAAGACTTTGATTCTTGCGAAGTAACAAGTTGTTCAGTTCTAGAAGAACTTTTCTGGTCGAAAGTTTTACCTTTAACGTTGTTCTTTTTTACCAAGTACCAATGCAACACAGCTTGCCTGTTTACAAACTAGCAGGTTTTAAATCTTTCTTATTTAGGGACTACAAAATGTTAACTATTTAGACAAAGTAATACATTAGCAGCGCTGGTATCGAATTAGTTTTTCGTACATGGGACGTACATGACCTGGTTAATGCAAAAATTGCGGGAAGCGAAAAGTAAACACCATCAGAGATGAGAAGAGCATCAGAAATAGCTTGAAACCAGTTTTGAGGCCCTGAACCTAAGATGGGTGTCGACTGCCGGCAAGATTATCAGAATTTATATGTCGGAGAATTCTGATTTTTTTTTTCAAATTATTCATGTTACATCTTGTCCGTTCTTGATTTAACTATAAAATCGCAGTTACAACCTTAAATTTGGTAGACCCCCTTTTTCATTGCTCTTTTAATCTCTAGTTCTTTTAGGGATATATTCCACATTTCACCCTGAAATCAGTCACGTGACCCGTTTTGCTCTTGGAATCTGGAATTTTTTGTTTTCTACTGAGAACTAAATTAAGCGTGACTTTGTTATAGTAAAACATGTAGTTAATTAATCGCGCCACTGCCGTCGATGTTTCAGAACCAAACTGTTGATAACTTTCATAACTTCTGTCCATGGTTTTCGCTTAGTTTCTTGTTTATGAGTAGTAACAAAGATAAAGGACAGTTATTAATTTCGGGGCGCTATTAAGGGGGTATCTTTTCCACAGATGGTCGCCACTTTTGTGATACATGATAGACTTGCATCAACATTTAACATTTCCTTAGGGATTTTTGCAGTAATTGTATTTTATAAATTAGATTAGTATTACATTAGGTACATGTGCGGAGTAGGAGTAAACTCACCTACTTTGTCTCTTGAAGTGAAAGTTAGCGCAAATAAAAGTAAACGTTATAGTTTGTACCAGTAAAATCCTACTCTCTGTGCTTATAGCTAACCAGCCTGAGCATCTTTTAAAATGCACATTACGGCGTAAACATTAGAAAAAAAACAGAAAGCTAAAAAGTGAGTGCCAGTATTAGCTGTCTTTTTACTCTGGGTTCCAAAGGACATTTTTTCTCATCGATCCGACTGATGGTTCGCGACGAGCCCGCGTCAACAAGGCGCGAGCCCTATCAAACCGTGAGCACGGTTCATTTAATCTAAGGTATTTTAAGAACGGACCTCTGGACCCAGGGTACTGTCTTTTAGGTTCGCACCCAGAATGGAAACCGGGGGTTGTTTGGCAGCAATGGACAGCTGCCGGTTTCAATACGTACCTACAGACTTTAATAGTTGG